GTAACAGTAATATCGCTGGTGAAAGAAAACGCGCCGATGACCTGAATCGCGTATCTTAGGTTGCCGCGTAGAAGATTCAGATTAGGTACCTGGCCGTACCGCACGAGCGTACCAACACCATTTTGACCAACACTGTCCACTCGAGTCGCCATAAGTCGGCAAACTCTTACGACAGGGCCCCAACTCATCGCAATCAGCTCTTCTGTCAGCCACGAAACTAAAGAGAAAAATTTCCGGAAAATTTTTCGTGAATTTCCGAAAATTCTTACTCTGAGCGGAGAGAGCAGCAGAATGGCAGTCCACGGCGTCATTGAGAGCGGGTCGGGGGAGGAAGGTGACTTTGTGCTTGGACGAGATGTCGTATATCTGAATGACCGTCACTGCGCCACGAAATTATTATGACTCCGTCGAAAAATTTCACTGCGCCACGAAATTGTTAAGTGATAGCAAACGCAGTGTCGCGTGAGTAAAACCTGATCGGACGGAGGGAGTGTCCCCTAGCACGCAATTATGAAGCGTGCGTCCCCGCACGCAGACGATAAAGACTCATACCCGTAAGATATGTGCGCGTGCGTGCAAGTTGATATGATCAACTACTCTCATTCACGATGATTGACGCTGTGGCGTAGCAATATGCTGCGGCGTGCACTGTTACAGTACAGTGATGGAACCCTCTGGTTCTTCTCACCCAACCCTCCCGACCCGGGAGATGTGGTCAGCCTCACACATCAATCACGTCGCGGTAGCGCAGCGCCAATAATGCGGGCCTGCTGGCTCCGGGTTTCGTGTTGGTGCTTCTCTACCGTTACGTGATTCCTCACCCACACTCCCGTGTCAGAGGGGTTATATAGTCACCTTCATCCCTTTTAGATTAGTCCACGCTATCATGCTGTTCATCCACTTGATTCTCGTTATGGTACCCTCACCTGAAACTTACATACAGCAACCTAAGATATGCCCGAAACTCACCTGAATGCAAAATTGAATTATTGTTAAATAAAGTACCCCGTTTGGTCAACACCAATTTATAATCTTCTCCTCCAAAAACGACCGAACGGTGACCTGAGACATATCTTAGGTTGCTCCTCATAAGATTCAAAGTAGGCCGGATGGAGTACCAGATGCATACAGAGGATGAATCGCCACTGCTCTCACTGCTCTGCTTACCAACGCTGGTTGTTCCCGGCCTGACCAGTTTGGGAAAATACGTACAGTTTTAATTCAGTCGGGAAATTCTTGTTAGTTTCGAAATCAACAAAATAAAAACAAATTTCATGAGAATCGACAAGAGCTGTGATGTGTTTTTTTCATATACATGTATAAAATCAATGATTTCTCCACACTTCTACCCTAAAACGTGTATAAACTCCTCTCAAAAAATTCCTGAGCTCAACTGAGGAAAGCAGACATATACTTCTACACTGGGCGTCACTCGGAATATTACTATTAATAGAAAGATCTGTATGTGCTATGATTCTACCACTGTTAATTTTCAATGACACCACGCAGACCTGAACAACAAGATATCTTTCATAGTGCGCACGTTGAAGATTCCTACTGAGGCGTCCTCGGATGAACTAGCCACGTATCTTTCGGTGTAATCTGTGTCGATGCAGGTAACCTGATGGGAGAGGGATCAAATTTGGCGAGGAAAAACTGGGAAAGTTGGGAAAACGCTATCTTATCCGCCCTGTGCGTGAAAATTGAGATATATTCTAATGATAAAATCATCACTAAAATTATTTCCCCGCAAAAAAAACTTGGCAAAAAAATCAATTGTGAGATAAACAAAGTAAATAAATATTCCACAGGATGGTATCCAGATCAAGTTTGATGTAGAAAAACATATAACTATCCCAATCCTTCGAATAATCGATCAGCTGATCGATTCAAAACCACAGCCGTAAAATTGAAATCATTGGGAAATATTGACAAAGAACTGCATTCTTCTTTCGCAAAATCGGCAGCGATTAGCCGTTTATTCTACTACAAAATTCAAATATTTCCTCAACAACTGAAATACCTATAAAAATGCCCACATCGCTTGCAAGGAGAGACAATTCAATTCTATATGCATATCAACCATATGTGAAAAATGCTACGCAAAGTCCACCCTTCCAACTACGACGAAAAATGCATAATAACTTACACGAAAGTCTCACGAAAAATCAACCATAATGTTGATACGCATTCAACACTACTTATAGTCGATGATGAAATTTTCCACCGAAATTCCCTCATTAAAAGGAAAAATTCAGCACCTCTATCGGAGCATTCAAACCCTACATGTCCAATACATGTCGACCCTAGACTGCAAGCGGCCGTGTTGGAGGAATATATATTCGCTTTCCTCAGCTGAGCTCAGAAATTTCCTCACTAAAACAAAAATTTGCACGCGGATCTCAATAGGACTTCATATTGTCACCAACACATGCAGTCGAGCATATACACATTTTCCCACACTCTAACACTCAAGTGAACCCCACACAGTTCGCCCCCAACTCTGCTACTACCGCGGCTGTATGACTAGTCCACATCCCCACCAACTTCCCCCTCCCATCGAAGGCATATATCGACCCTTTACAAGTGCCAACCAGCTGAACACATTAATACTTTCTATACCATCACTTACACAACTACCAATTTATCTTTTGTGATCTTCACCGCAGTTACTTCCTCAGTGGAAACAACTCGGCACACATCATCAGCCTCAACGAGATGATAATCAACAATCGGCACCTCCTCCTCGTCCTCTTCACTCGAGGCCTCCGAATCACTGCTGCTGGAGGAGTCGGAAATAACCGCCTCGGCTTTGGAAAAGCTCATCTACGGCAAGGTGGGG